AGACATAATATAATGATTTTAGTGATACAAAGCTTACTAATTAACCCATAGCTTGGGGGAAGTGGATTCATACTTTTCCCAAGGTTATTTGTGCGTAAGTGAATATAACGAACCCAACTGGAATTGGAACTCGGCTCCCCGATTAACAATTCGAGCCATTATCCATTACACCACCCGGACATACAAGCTTACAACACCTGGTATTCCCAAGCGGTCACCCATCTAGGTACTGACCAGGCTCGTTGTGGCTTAACTTCAGTGATCATACGGAAACCGCAATTTCAACGTGATATGACTGGAAGCAAGTTACATCAACCGCATGTTCAAGCTTGCAGCATCTGATATTCCCAAGCGGTCACCCATATAGGTACTGACTAGTCTCGACGTTGCTTAACTACGGAGATCGTACCAGAACCGTCGTTTAAACGTGATATGACTGTAAGTACATTAAACCACGGGCACATCCAAGCTTACAGCACCTGATATTTCCAAGCGGTCACCCATATAGGTACAGACCAGGCTCGACGTTGCTCAACTACGGTGATCGTACGGGTGTTTCAACGTGATGTCGTCGTAAACCGCAGAATTTGGATCAACCGCGTTGTGAAGTCTGTTTTGTAAAGGTTGTGTTTGTGGGTGCGTTTTTGAAAGGCTGATTTTTGTGGGGCTGCCGAGTTCAGGTTTTGTGGAGGCGCGATGACATGTTTTACCACGAGAAGGAATTGTGTCAGGAAAAAAAAAAAAAATAAAAAATAAAAAGTGAGTCAGCCCCTTTTCCGGAAGTTGTAATGTAAGGATGACTCAAATCCTTTCCTGTTCTAATTATTTATTTATTTTCTTTTTGTCTGGTGAGATATTGTTTTTTTGCGTGAAATGTCAACAAACACACACACACGCACAAAAATAAAAATAAAAAATAAATAAATAAAAATAAATAATTAAAAATAAATAAATAAAAATAAATAAAAATAAAAAAATAAAAAATAAATAAATAAATAAAAATAAAAATAAATAAAAATAAATAAATAAAAGAATAAATAAATAAAAGAATAAATAAATAAAAAAAAAATAAATAAAAAAATGAATAAATAAAAAATAAATAAATAAAAATAAATAAAATAAATAAATAAATAAATAAAAATAAATAAAAATAAAAATAAGTAAAAAATAAATAAATAAAAAATAAAAAATAAATAAATAAAAAATCAAATCAAAACTAAACAAAACAAAACAAAAACAAAACGTAATAAAGCAGAAAGCATTTATTGACAGACAGCAAAACCCTTCACAAATAATCAAGAATCTGAAAAAAAAGAGAGATTTTTATTACTTCAAGCGTTTAGCGGTTTCCCGTGTTTAAAATAGACGTTCCGTTTAGACAGTGTATATTACGTCTAGTGGGTGGGCACTCGAGAAACTTTAGTAAATAAAAACGTGTTCTCCGCCAGTTTTCCATAGAACGTAGGCCGATAGACGTAAAACACACTGTTTAAAAAAAAAACAAAAAAAAACGTGTCGTCTATTTTAAACACGAATATCCACTGAAAATAACGTTTGTAATAAATTAATAAAAGCTGTATTAAAAATAAAACCATTAATTCTCTTGAAATTCAGAGATGTTTTGAGTATATAGAAAAGAGTTCAAAACTTAGATCAACCATGTTTAGAAGTTTGTTTTCTATTATTTTGTTAGTGAGCACATACGGAAACGTATCCATTGTTCGGATTTTGTAGAGGTATCGATTTTGACATTGAAACAATGTATTAAGATTCAATACAGCTGAGATAAAGATTTCACAATTGAAGTAGAGGCTAATGAACCGTTTGATTAATTTGTTCCTTATATATATATATATATATATATATATATATATATATATATATATATATTGTAACGCGTCTTCCTTAATGTAGCCCTTATCGCCCACCCCTTAACCACCTTTATCTAGAGACGAGACGCGTTAGATTTGAGCAACATCCAGCCGACACACTGGGGTTAAAATAGGAAACTAAAATGATACATATGACACACTCATATCCTCTCTCTCCCACCTCACCTCCTCACTTCGTTAACTTTGCGTATACTTGATGAGGTCCGTAAAAAACGTGTGAATTTTTTTCATTTATCATTTCAGCTTTTGGAAGTAAAGTCTGATGATCCAGAACCCTGTAAAATGGGTTATGGTGAAATAGCTTATTACATGGAATCTTAACGTGGTCTGTCTTTTATTCAAAAACAAACATATATATATATATATATATATATATATATATATATATATATATATATATATATATTAGATGTTCAATAGGTTTCGAAAGGTGTTCGGGATAAATTTGACTCCTTTTTTTAAAAAAAAAAAAAGAAAGAAAGCGAAACAAAACGAATATCAAAGCCAAAAGCCAATTTATTAGATAAATAGAAATATGGTAAAGAAGTTATAATAATCAAAAGACAATTCCCTTTAAAGAAAGCTACCCTCAGCATCTACCACGGCTTCGGTCCTTCTTCTGAATCTTACACATGTGGCCTTCACGGTGTCCCTTGGGAGATCCTCAAAAGTCTACTTCATCCTGTCAATCAGTTTGGCCTTAATTTTACAGGCAGTATGGTTGGTGTCATTCTCAGCCGCACCCCACACAAGAATTCATGGGATTACAATCAGGGAAGTTAGGAGGCCAGCAGTTGGTGTTAGTGAAGTAAAAATTATCTGACAACAACTTCTGACTGTACCTGGAGGTCTGTCAGGGAGCTGAATCTTGCTACCACACATATCATCTTCCAGCAACCTCTCCACTATGCACCCCTTTCCAGATTATAGATCGAATCTAGTTCCTAATTTTTTTGTCATATGAATTTTTAAAAAGTTTTAAATGCAATTTTCAATTAATAGCAGAAATCTCTGGACATGATGGGTTAAAATTGCTTCATTTTCAGATCAATATTGACTTGTGTGTGTAATTTCTGGAGAATTTATTGATAATTTCCAAATATTCTTGAAAACAGTCACCACTTCATGGCACATAATTTCATTTATCATTAAAAAATGATTTGCATTTTAATTCGGCCGTGACTGGTTTTTCCATCTTAGAATTGCAATCATTTTAATTTTTGAAGCATAAAATAAAAATTTATTCTTTTAGAAAACGGCGGATAGGGGGGGGGAGAGAAAAAATTGACATTGCTTTGATTAATCAATATTTCATATTAAAATGAGTTGAGGTTTTGATTACACCAATTGTTAAACTGAGATTAGATATGCATTCTTGTTATGTTCTTTAACTCTTTACATCCAGTAAGCAATACCTACTACTGCTACTCAAGTCTCACACAGATGTTAAAGTTCAATATAAAAATATACTGTCAAATGAAGATAAGGCAAATTACAAGATTATACAAGGTATCTGGGCTAAATGTGATAGTTTTTTTTTAACAAAAAGCAAAGTGAATGTCTAAACCAAAAATCAATTTATTGGAAAAATAGAAAACAGGTTGTAATAATCAAAAGACAATTCACTCAAAGAAGCAACCCTCAGCATTTACCATGATCTCTGTTAAACTCTGGAATATGGCACATGCAACCTTCACGTTGTCCTTAGAGAGAGAGCCTCAAATGCTTCCTTAAATCATGTCGATCAGCTGGGCTTTGGTGTTACTGGCAGTGCAGTTGGTGTCTTTCTTAACTGTGCCTCATGCATTCATGGGATTACAATCAGCATAGTTAAGGGGCAAGATGTTGGGGCTGGTGAAGTCATAAAAATTATGTGACAACCGCTTCAGACTCTTCCTGGAGTTGTAGCGGGGAACTGAATCTTGCTGCCACTCTCTCCACAATGGTCAGCAACTTCACATACCCATTTGAACTGAGCCTGAGACCCTGTTCAAAGATGTGAGGTAGCATACCATCCACCCTCACTGGAGACACACCCCAAAATCATCACAGTTTGGGAAAACTTCATGACACAAGGAACATCATATGGACTGTAGGTAAGCCATCTCTTGTTCTGGGTGTTGTGCAGCTGGTCTTTACAAAAATTCTTTTAATCAAAGAAGAACCAGATTGTACCTGGTTCATCAGGATGTTTCGCCTTGTTCAGGAATTTCTTGCCTTTGTTAGACAGTTTGACCTTTGCACCTCTTGTATGACTGGTAGCGGATATCCTCATTCAAGGCCAGTTTCATGGGGGGGGGGGAAATAGAAACACCCATTTTCTGCAGTAAGGCCCATATTCCCTTGCCTTGTTTCTTCCATCACTTTCTCCTGCAACTGTTGGATGAATTCTGGTGTACGGAAGCAATCAGAACATCTGTTGTGTTCTTTCCTACAAGCCACAGCCTCGTAGTCTCCATTGCAGCTCTCCATTTCATATCATATTGTTATCACGGTATTCAAAGAGCACTGAGCAACTGTCATGATTGCAGCATTTTGATGCCTGGCATGAATCATCATGATTCCATACCTGATGATGTCTGTAGGAACAGACGAAAGCTTGTAAAAAATTAAAAAGACCTTATGCAACTGGAATTTATAAACAGGGATCATATCATTCATATACAGGTTCGGGGTTGGTGTATCCTATTTATATTGCTTGCGATGATGTATTCTCGCCATTTAAATCATTAACCTCTATATTTGTTTTTTGTATGAATGATTCATGAATATATATATATATATATATATATATATATATATACATACATACAGGGTGTCCATAAAGTTCGTGTGCACGTTAAAGTTATAAATTTTAAAAAGTGCATACGAACTTTATGGACATCCTGTGTCATTATCTATCTATCTATCTATCTATCTATCTATCTATATCTATCTATCTATCTATATATATATATATATATATATATATATAATTTGAAGAGATTTGACAAATGGAAAATCATTTAAATGAAACTAGATTTGATTACATGTTTCGCCTTACTAGGCTTCATAAAGATCAAGAAAACGAAAGAAAGAAGTGTATATTTGTGTGTATGCTTAAATAATGAATCATAATACTTTTTCTCTAAACTGGCACTTCTCGTGGTTAAAAAAAGAATGAAAGTGAATGACTTTTAATAGAAGCTGTTATATTTATTCTTTGTCTTTTCTTTATAATTCTTAGTTCATGTTGAAAGTTATTAATATGTTCTTTCAGCTTTTCTGTATTAAATTTAATGTAAATGCTCATCTTATTTTAAGAATGGTTTGAAAGATTCCCAAGAAACACCATCTTAGCTGAAAAAAAAACTATTATTTTTTTTCATTAAAAAAAGAATACACCTACATTTTCCAAGTAAATAGATGGTAGAACAGGGTTTGGGAGAAATAAAAAACAAACAAACTTAAAGCTACAATGGGCAGGAAGATGTGAAGGGCCATAAAAGAAAATACATATTATTCGAATTAAAATAAAATGTAATTATGAATGTAACCTTCTATAATTAATACCCTAATACTTAAGATACCACCAAATCAAATAAAAAAATTAAATAATGGGTAATTAAAAACATATATAAACATTTACCTTATTATTATTTAAGTATTTATAAAAAGAAATCTGTTATTTTTTTCAGTAAAATACAGAATACACCTACATTTTCCAAACTTAAAACAACATTTGAGAGAGCAAAAGCAGTCTGCCAGACCAAATGTGAGATTGCTACATTTGTCTTTTACACTAAGAGCAGAAAAAGAGGGAAAAAGTATAAAAACTAATAGGGAGAGGGTATAAAGAGACAAGAAAGAGAAGAAATAAACATGGCATTCTACACGGAAGAATTTGCAACCATGCACGTAGGTAAACTCAAGCATGCACATGAACATGCACAATGAAAGACAAAACAACCTTAGACCAATAAAAAGGACATGAATTATTTTTAAAATTAATTCATGCACTTACTGTAACAAAAACAAGAAAATAAGCTATCAATTGCTGGTACCTCCTAAAATCTATTTGACAAATGGAAAACTCTTCATTGAAACTAGATTTGATTACACATTTTGCCATTTTAGGCTTCATCAGATCCAAAAACAAAAAAAGAAATGTGTGCGTCTGCTTAAATAATAATTCATTACTACTTTTCCTGCTAAGCTGGCATTTCTCATTATGAAAAAAAAAAAAGAATGTCAATCAGTGACTTTAAAAAAAAAAAAAAGCTGTTATATTTATTCTCTATCTTTTCTTTATAATTCTTAATTCATGTCAAAAGTTATTAATATGTTCTCTCAGCTTCTCTGTATTGAATTTAAGGTAAATGCTCATCTTATTTTAAGAATGGCAGAAAAAAAATGCACAAGTGCCACCTGAAACAGAAATTTGAAATTAGAACATCATTTTCATTTTTGATCATTTTATGATATATATATATATATATATATATAAATTATTTTTAAATCTAAATATGATTTTATATGTTTTTATTGTTATTTTAGTGTTTTCATGTTTTTTGATATTTTTAATGGTCGACATAAACTCTAGCAAAACGACATAAGGCAAGTTTTATTTTTCCATATAATATTTAAGAAAAACCAACATATCTTTGAAAATGACTTAACTTGAAACAACTTAAGCCAATGTATGACTGTATATGTATAAGACAGGATACAGGAATCCCTTCAAAGTTTTGAAGAAATTTGACAAATGGAAAATCATTTCGTTGAAATTGGATTCGATTATGCGTTTTGCTCGTCTAGGCTTCATCAGATCCAAAATCAAAAAAGAAATTTTGTGTGTATGTTTAAATAATAAAACATTAGTCCTTCCTTCACCAAACTGGCTTTTCTCATGATTAAAGAAATGAATGAAAATGAGTGACTTTGTAAAAAAAAAAAAAAAGGAGGCCATCAATATCTATTCTGTATCTTTTCATCATAATTCCTAGTTCTGAAAATAAGATGCAGATTTTCTTTAGGTTCAATACACAAAAGCTGGAAGAATATATTAATAACTTTCGACATGAACTACGAATTTTATTAATTATATATTAAGTCTTAAAACTTACAAGTATTTTCTGGCTTTAAATAACCTGCAATGGGTTGATAAACCATAGAAAACAAATCAATCAATGAAATACTGATTAGCTACACAGGCATGTCTTTTTAGATTTATTTACATTCTCTGGAATAGTAATGTACAGAAACTACGATGGCCACAAAGTGAGGGCTCAGTTTATATATTGATTTTAATATAGAATTAATCCCCCACTTTATATCCACATCATAATTTCTTGTTTGTTGTTAAGCCATAGAAAATGAATCAATCATTCAATGAAATACTGATTATCTACACAGGCATGTCTTTCTGATTTATTTACATGCTCTGGAATAGAAATGTATAGAAACTACGGTGGCCACAAAGTGAGGGCTCAGTTTAAGTATTGATTCTAATATACAATTGATCCCCCACTTTATATGCACATTATAATTCCTTGTTTGTTGATAAGCCGTCGAAAACGAATCAACTAAGAGTCAACCCCAAAACACCTGTAGAAGAAACATTACAGGTTCGCGCCGCGACTGCGAGTTGACCACGGACCCAACAGCTGAGTGTCACACTGGCATTTTTCATTATGAAAAATAAAAAAATGTAACTGAGTGACTTTAAAAAAAAATCTGTTATATTTATTCTCTATCTTTTCTTTATAATTCTTATTTCATGTTGAAAGTTATTAATATGTTCTCCCAAGTTTTCTGCACTGAATTGAATTTTGTTGCCCGGTCCGTCTCATGATCCAGATGATTCTTTTCCAACATTCAGGTGGCTTCCACTCGTCCAGCTCAGTTAACTATGACAGTTTTAAAACTGGAGTGATTAGGTTTCTTTTGTGGAGTAAATAGTACATGAACTAGGCCATAACTATAAAGAGCTCCAGGAACAGAGGAAGAAGAAGAAGAAGACTTTTGGAGTCAGGCAGTTCGCTGCCAGGCTCGCCACTAACTTGTCGAACTCTCTGTCTTCGGGCATAGAGAAACCCAGACAAGGCTATGCCTACAGGCAGAATCTCGTATGGGGAGGTAGACAAACCCGACCCCTTGTATGAAGTGTCTACGGGTAATTTTTGCCTGAGTGTACGGGCTCGGAATCGCCACACGTAAAAATCGGCTTTGTGCCACGTCCTACCTTGTGGGTAGGTTTGGTAAATACCAGCTCTTTGGAGTCGCTCTTCAGACTAATTAATACAAGCGTCA